CCACGCGCGCCCGCCTTCCTCCCCCGGGCCAGTCTTCAGGCCTCCGCCTTGTGCTCCTTCTCGGAGGCGGGGTCCGGGCCGAACTCCGAGGAGGACCAGATACCTGGGTCCCGAAGCGCGGAGTCGCCGGAGTAAGTCCTGCCGCTAACTCCGGAGAGCGGAGAGCACGAGGCCGAGAAGTCCGCGCCGGGCCCTGGCTCGGTCCGCACACCCGCGCGAGCTGCGCCTTTTGACAGGACTATTTATCTGTACTGCTCGGAACAAACCACCCCTGGCCAAAATGAGAGGGCGCGGGGGAAAGGGGGGGAGGAAGGAAGGGGTGGGGATCGCTTTTCTGAGCGCAGGGAATCTGCTGGTAGGGGCGGGGAAGGGGAAGTCTTCGCTAAACCGAGATTGGGCCCTGGGGCCCAAGGGACCCTTAGATGGTCAGTGTGAGATAAGTAAGTGTGTGTGTTGGGCGAGTGAAGGAGGGGACCTTGATCATAAGCATCCCACTCCCACCCCAATTTATCTTAGCGATCTCGAAGGTTGCCACACACTTAGAAACGTCAGGATCGATCCGTCTTTCTCAGCAAAGCACTGTTTAAAACACTGTTTTCCAAGTTCATCAGTCATATGATTTGTCTATCCAAGCGTTGCCCAGCAAAAGAATAAAAGCAAAACAACACCGAACAATCCAAAAGCTAAAGAATAAAAGCAAAACAACACCGAACAATCCAAAAGCTAAAGAATAAAAGCAAAACAACACCGAACAATCCAAAAGCTAAAGAATAAAAGCAAAACAACACCGAACAATCCAAAAGCTACCTCTCCCTTTCCTCCTTTTCCTTTGACATCGCTTTATGATCTACAAAGCACCCTTATCTACACTGGTTTGTTTCATTTCCAAACATCTATGACTTAAATGTTATTATCTCCACTTTGCAGAACTTGAAGTTAAACTGCGGGGACAGATATTAAGTAAAGGACCCCTAATCATCAGGTTGGTAAGTAGAAATGGCCTCAAAATCCATAGTTGAAATCCCTGGCTCCTCCATATTCCAGTCGTCTCCCCACCTTTCTAGTCTTGAGAGTTCCGTGCGTGATTTTGTTGTTATAATGCAATGCAGAGATGAATTATAGTCTAGGGAAGCGATTACTGTTTAGGTTGTGTATGGAAGAGTGCGCTCCTGGATGCTGAATGCTAAATCAGCACAACCATTCAAAGTAAAAAACGTCAAAACAGCCCCCAGAATTACCCTGACCCACACCAACCAAAAATTAAACACCCTGCCCTTCATCCCCAAAGGAAACAAAACAAAACTGCAAACTGCCTGCTGCCTCGTGGTTTTCTAACTGGAAGGAACTTTGCAGTGCGTGGTGTGGGGGTGTGGACTTCATTTGGAGGTGGACACCAATGGAGCGCCTACTGTGTGCCAGTCACTGGGCTCGGCGCCATGTGACTGCCTACTAAGTAATTAAGAATAAAATTTAAAACAACAAAATAATTAAAATTCTATCAGGTTGGGGTAGGTTTACTCCCTGAGCCTTCACACCCGTGTTAGGAGGTTGCTTGTCTTTCCTGTAAGGACTCAGGCTCCCAAGCTGAGCGAAGTGCAAGGAGAAGGATATGCAGTCAGCCCAGGACAGAGCGGTCCAGCCTCACTAGGCTGGCTCCTCCCGCAGAACAAATGTGCCCGGGCTCAGAGCCTGAAGTGCCACAACAGGTGGCTGCCTGGGCTGACTTCATCACTCAGGCATCCTTCCACCTTAGTCTCCCAGGCCACGTCTTTCTCCTGGGGATGTTTCACACAACCCGTCCTGCTCCACCCCCACCCCCACCCCCACCCCAGCTTTACAGAGGTTTTCTCCTGTATATTTATTTAGTCATTTTGTTAGGGGGAGGGAGGGGCTCCTTCTGGCATCAGTTGAGTAAAAAGAACTCTTGTCTTTCAGTTTTCTCTGGGCTGGGAAAATGCAGGGAGTATTTGACAGAGCATAGCAATCTTTCCTAGAGCGCTTGAACTTGAACTTGACTCTGGTGCGCATGAAGGTGGGAAGCAAAAAGGGAGAAGGGGGAGCAACAAGATGTAAAGGAGAGACCTCAGGCCAGCTTTTTGCATTGCCTATTGATGACTTGAGGCTATCAGTATAAATACATAGCCTCACACATTAGGAGCAGGCATATAGGTTTTAAAAATCTGGATTGTTTATACAGGTGCAGAACAAAGTCTTTCTTTAGAAAGATTAATGGTGGGGAGAGCGCTAGATTTTCTCTAAACAGTCGCAAAAACTGCACCCAGCCTCAGCGCTAAGCGGGTCATAGCCAGTTTCTTTTTCTTTAAAGTACCGCCTGACCCCAACAGTTTGTGCTTATGTTTTTCATAGCTCTTTCCTTTCCTTTTTCCTTCTTTTTTCTCTTCTCTTCTGTTCCCTTTCCTCTCTCCCTCCCTCCTTCCCTCTTTTTTTTTAAAGAGAGATGGTTAATTTCTCTATTTTTTCTTTTACCTTTCATTTCCCTTTCCCTCCATTTCTTTCTAGTTATATTTTACTCATTTTCCCCCCAAGTTGCAGACTCCTATTGAAGATTGGGACATGTGTTTTTGTGTACATTTCATATTAGTTTAGAACTGCAGTTTGCTTTAATATATCTGTAATAATATCTGACATTTTCACCTCTTTACTCTTTCAAAATACTTTTACTTTCCTTCTTTCTCAATGACTACAACAGCTCCATGTGCTGAACAATGCAAGCATAACTATTTCTTTTTGGAAGCCCAGTTGTTTTAATTGTTTTGGCAAGCTATCACACATTGCAAATGAATAATATTTTATTTTTATATTTAAAAATACATTAAAAACAATTCCTACGTGCCCATGTTTTATAGCCTTTTAGATTTGTAACATGAATATACAGTTGTTTATAGTATACATTGAGGGTCCTGAAACTCTTTAAGATTTTTCTTAAAGTATGCAAAAGGGGGTAGGGTTAAGTTTACATCATAAAACAAACATTAGTACATTTAATAATGTTTTCTATTCCTGACTCTACTGCTTATTGGTGCTATGACTTTAGGCAACTTACTTTATCTGAGGCCCAGATTCCTAATCTATAAAATGAATGGTCTATCTTGTTGTGAGGACCAGAAAGCATATGAGCAATTGCCTGGGCCAGAGTATGATACTCGGGAGAAGATCGATAAATGCTAATTATTTCTATTACTGTGAATTGCCTTGCTCAACATCACATAGCTAATGTGTCAGCCTGGAGCTGACCCTGATTTCGTGCTCCAGGGCTGGTTCTGGGTTTTACATGGCACCAGGATGTTTCATTCACTTTAACTGCAGGCTTCTAGGGTCTGAAGTCACAGTTCCATTGCCTGACATTTTCCACAGGTCCCGTTAGGGTCCTTACTGAGGGAAAACGTATGGGACTGCATTAGCAACTTTTTCTTTCTCCAAGTTCTCTCACCGTAAAGTCACAGCACTTCTCCAAGCTTCACTTTCTCTATTTGAAAAGTAGGATAAAACTCCTGAATCAGAGTTACTGAAGGACTAAATGAGATTGAGGTGCATGTGAAAGCAGCATGCTCAGGTGTAACACAGAAAAGGTGTTTAATATATTAAAATATTTTTTTAAATGTAGACTTTGGCTTTTAAAAAGGGAGGATGAGGTGGTATGATAATTATGGACCACAGAAAAGGACATTTATCACCACTGCCCGCTTCCAGCTCCATAGTAAGTACTGGATGAGGAAGTTGAAGCTGGGCAGGTCAGATGGGTTTAGGGCTTAGGGAGAGGAGGGGCTGCACCTATATTCTGTGAACATGTAGTAAAAACAAGTAGGTGTTTAAGAAATGGTTGTAGGAATGCATTTGGAAGGATGGAGCACTCCCCACATGACTTTCCTGGGGGTGTCCCCCCACAGCCTCCTAAAGTTCTGACCTGTCCAGTTGGCTGAAGAAATTGCCCAGACTGTCCATCTAAAAAAAACACAGAGTCTACCTCAGCACTGGCCAGCATGGATGCCACATGAGACTACTGAGCACTTGAAATGTGGCTAGTCGTATACAGTATTGCAAAATATACACCAGGGAGTGAGAACAATTTGAATAAAAGAAATATAAACCATCTCATTAATATTTTTAAAAATATATGCCAAACAATGATAATATTTCAGATAGCTAGGGTCAAAGGAAATATATGAATATAAACTAATTCCACCTGTTTCTTTTTATAAAGTGGCTACTACAAATGCAGAATTTCATATGCAGCTCGCATTATATTTCCATTGGATAATTCAGGGATTAACTCTGCAACTGTGCTTTGAGTGTCTCCTGTTTGCTGTGGCAGGTGTTGGTGAGCCTGACTCCCGCCCACTTGGAGGGCACATTCTCGTGGGAAAAAGCAGGATAATGTGGGAAGCACACACGACATCACGTCTCCTCTCGCTTGTCCTTTTCTGGGCCATCTCTCCTGCATCTCACCACGTGCACCCAGACTCTTCTCCTCGGCCCAGCCCACAACACGTGCAGAAACACTTCCTGTTTGGTTGTGCGCAGCCCTTTGTAGCCCAGGAGAGGGTGGCATGGACCCCCAGGCAGGATGAGCCAAACTGCAGGCAAGGCCAGGTCTCCGGTGCCCAGTTCAAGGACCTTTTCAGAGCAGACCTGGGTACAGAGTACGATGTCCAGGCCAGACAGACAGGCAGACAGACGCTCC